GGAAAAAACCTACGTTGTATACATTCTTTTGGTCTTAGTGCAATGTACTTTTTAACTAAGTTCAAGGCTCCTATTTCGCTTTCTTCAACAATGAGGTGCAGGTCTTGGTTTCTGGTATACCTTGATTAGTAAAACGGCTCTTCTGTCTTCAATGTCATCAATGGTCATCTTGACCATTTCATCACGTCTTAAGCTTTAAAATACACCCATTCCTAGAACAAATCTGGAGCTTCTCTTATGAATAGTAATACTTGTCCACCTTTTGACACCTTTGATTTTTTTGGAATGTATCCGCTTGATTTAACTGTCAGAGAGGCCATCAGTTGACTGAATGCTGAGATACTAATGTTTTGTCTAACAATCAATGTTGATTTCAGCTGTGAGTATTAGTCTGGTCCATAGAGTATTTGCACTATATTTCTCAGACTGGAATACGGTGAAACGAATAGAAAATATTAATATTTTTCATGAGAAAAACTCACCAGTTCCTGGAAGTATGCCATTAGGACAGCTACATTTACGGTATTCACTCTGTTTCCATCTTTCCATTTCAAAAAATGATCATACTGCTTCTCGAATAAAGTATTTGGATTTCACAGGCAGTGAATTTTCCAACGCTCTTTCAGCTTTGAGCGTGACATTCTATGGGATCTCCACAATCATTATGAAAACAACAGTTTTTAGTTTCCTCCAGTAACAAGATTCTCAATTTCTACAATAATGAAGCGTCGTTTTATTAAATGAACAACATTTTGCAATCTCTTCAATGTTTCCATAGCAACTGCATATAGAAGCTCACTTGTGTTCAGACTAAAAGTGGATTCTCAATGACTATTAACAGGCAGAAAAGGTGTACTTTTTAAGCAGTAAAAGTACACCTTTTCAGAAACAGTCTGTTGCTAAGCAACGTTCCAAGTAATATGAATCAAATTGGTAATCAAAATTGTTAATGACTTTGGGTGAACAAAAATTGATGAATTATTTGGAGAAAAAAATTATATGTTTCACATGGCAGAAAAGAAAATGTAATGCCTTGGCTAGTTACCTAGCCTCGGCTACGCCTGGGCTATGAAATGCCAGCTGCGGCATTGAATCTTGTTCTTTTCTGCCTAGTGAAACAAGTAGCTATTGTAGATTGACTGCCGCGGCTGCTAGTCCATAGCCGAGCGTAGCGAGGCTAGGAATTCAGCCAAGGCAGTCAATCTAAATTTGCTGCCGTGTGAAACATAGCAGTTTTTCTCCAAATTATATAAAACTAATTTTGTGTAATTTTTTTATCGAAGACTCCATCATTTTGTGTTCACCCAATGTCAGTGTCAATTTTGATTACTAATTTCATGAGAATTTCTTGGAACGTTAGATTTGGAATGGGGCCTTCGGGCTATCTGCCTCCACACTGCGACCTTTTCAGATCTATTGTGTCTGCCCTCAAAATCGATTAGAGTTCTTCGGCTAGCCTCGCCTTCTCTATGAGACTCCATAGGCTAGCTTTCAGATCTTATGTGTATCTCTGGGCTCCTGGTTTTTCCTCACCCAGCGTAAGGAACCTTAGTCTTGACAAGCCCTCACAGTGGCAAAGTATGTGTACTGCTGTTTCTTCCTCTTCTTGACAGAACCTGCACAGCAGTTCTTCAGTCAGACTTATCGTACTCATGTGTTTGTTGAGCCTACAATGCCCTGTGAGAAGTCCCACTAGTATTCTAGTTGAACTTCGTTTCTGGCTCATTAGATATTCTGTGAATGTTGGCGATGGTTTTTTAATAAACTCTTTTGCCTGTCTCATTCCTGGCGAGTTGTTCCACCATTCTTGAGATTTGGTTTGCATCCATGATTTGATACTAGTCGTTTGTATAGCTTTCGCAATACCACAGAAAGGTTCTGGACCATTAAGAGCTTTGTTTGCTCCTGCTCGGGCAAGTTAGAGTCACTGGATACCATCCAGTGACTCTAGGGCAAGTGAGTCTGCCTCTTCATTGCCCTCGTACCCTGTATGTGCTGATACCCATGCTAGAGTCAATCTGTTCTGACTGCCCAGTGCATTCAGGGTTTCTAAGCAGTCCCATACTAGTTTTGAGTTAACTTGCATAGAGTTGACTGCTTCGATTGCCGCCTGGCTATCTGAATAGATTGCAATGGTTTTACCTTAAAACTCTTGCCTTATCAATTCTTTCAAGCAATGATGTATTGCAATTATTTCTGCCTGAAACACCGTCGCGTATTTGCCTAAGCTCAGTAAGATTCTTGTCTTTGGCTTGGCCCCATAAATACCAGCTCCTAATCCTTCCTCAGTTTTGGAGCCGTCCGTATAGACAGCAATGTCTGCATTGATAGGAGTTCCTTCCTTCCATGCCTCTCTGTCCGTTATACTTATTTTAAAAGATTTTTCAATACAATATTTTGAAATTATGCCATCCGTTGGCATTCCCATGATGGGGTCATTTTCCAACTCTTCATATAGTTTCCTATAGTCTTTACCGTGCGCGTTGCTTATGGGTGCTTGACCCCTTGACAATCTACTCACGACTGCTCTGGATTCGCCTTGAATATATATTTGTAGTGGTGGTAGGTTCAAGAGGACCTCTAAAACGGCTGTTGGAGTGGTTTTAATTGCACCAGTGGCACTCAGGCACGCTTGCCTTTGAATAGCACTGAGCCTTCGAATCACTCCAGCCTGTTGTGTCTTTGGCCACCAAACTACTGACCCATATGCTATCATATGCCTGATGACGCTGGCATAGAGCCATGTAGTCATTTTTGGTTGCAGTCCCCAATTTTTTCCGCGCATTCGTCTGTTCTTGGAACGTTGCATAGCAACAAACTTTTTCTGCCTAGGCAGTGAAAGTACACATTTTCTGCCTGTTGAGCGGCAGGAAAAAGCCACTATCCCTGCCGCTTGGGGAAAAATGACTATTGTTTGTGTTATATCGTTGATTGAGGTATTGATTTGGAGTTTTATATGACAGCACTATGTCAATCGACAAGATTTTCAGAGAAACTATTCGGTGAAGTGAGTGATGGTTTGTGTTTATCCATTCAATGACTACTTCAGCGGTTATATCAACCCCTTAGATTTCGATACAGGTTCGGGGTGGATTGAATGAGTAAAAATATCGTAGTTTGCCATTGAATAACTATCACCCTATATGAGGTATCATGGTAAAATTTTTTTGGAGGGTGTTGCGAGTTGATATCACACACCACATTGTATACAACTATATTTATCAAGAAGACTGCAGCTCTCAGTGCATACAGACTGAACTCCACTGAATTGGCCAGACCAGGTGATGTCACTGGTCACATGGTCATTCTACAAGAAGTACAAATGGAATCTGCAACCAAACCGTCGAACATAATGCCAGCCAGGCTCAGTTTCGATCATACCTTTGAAGTGGTTATAAAAAGCCGCCCTAGGTACGGTTCCGCTGAGTCTCAGCTGGGCAGAGGGTCCCTTGTTTGGTACACCGATGGTTCGAAAATGGAAGAAGATGTAGGCGCGGGTGTATATGGACCCGGGAGTAGGCTATTTGAAGCCTTAGGTCACTCCCCCACTATCTTCAAAGCTGAAATACATGCTATCAACCTTTGCGCCCAAAGGTGCCTGAGCAAAGGTCTGAGGGGTGCCAACATATATATCTGCTCAGACAGCCAAGCCGCACTGAAAGCCCTAAAATCATTCGTTTTAGATTACATGGGACTGCTTTGAAACACTCATGCAACTAGGAAAGGACAACAAAGTCACACTTATGTGGGTTCCAGGGCATGAAGGAATCAGAGGAAATGATGCAGCCTTGCAAAAAAATGTGCAGCATCTGCACTTTTTGGTCCTAAGCTTTTTTGTGGAATAAGCAAATGTCACCTAAAGGGAGAACTCAGGAAATGGGAAGAAATTGAAAAGTCCTCCTACTGGAGAGCAACTCCAGGTCAACGACAAGCGGAAGGGTTCATCAACCATTCGCAGAACCGAGCCAAAGAGCTACTGAGCCTCAGCAAACTAGAGCTAATGCTTATCACAAGCTTTCTCACAGGACACGGCCCTCTGAGGTACCACCTCAAAAAGATGGGCCTGGCGGAGACTGAGACTTGCCGCTTTTGTAACAATGCGACCGAAACCGCGGGACACATACTTTGCTCATGTGTAGTATTAGTCCGCCAAAGGCTGAACCACCTAGAACAGGTCTATCTCACCCCTGCTGAAGTGGAAAATTCAACCGTTAGGAAAATTGTAGGCTTCATCAGAAGTCTAGGGTTGGAGGACCAAAACTAGATAGGGGTAATCACAATAGATCTTCTAGTGATCGAGAGGTCTCCCAGCCTATACGACCCATCTACAATCTACATCTACATACACCTATTTTCATTCAAAATCATGAGTCTGTTATGATTAATATTGAGGAAACACGGACCCTTGATGTTGATATTATAAGATATTATAAGGAGAATGTCACAACGTTACTGTCAAATAGTAAGTAGGTACCTGCTCATCAAATACCGAATGGGAATACCATTTTGCAGGGACATTTCCACAAATAAATGCTCATCTCCTAGTACTGACTTCTGAATGGTAATAAAAAATACTGATGCATATTTGTTCCTCCATACATGTTTGTAGAATTAACATTAATTGAGATAGCTATTGTGTAAACAATCACAATGATATATTTTTCAGTATTTTCCCAAATATGATGAATTTCATTTATCAATTTTATATAGGTATTGTCCTTGATTACAAGTGTGAATGTGTGAATACTCGAAGGTATTGTGTAGTTTCATGCCCATGAAAGTTTTTTTCATCTCAAGACATAGTGCTTCATGCTGTTATTTCGAAAAAACTAGAAAAAGGTCAAACATTTCGCCGTATTTTGGTGCTGGTGAGAACTTATCAAACTAATACCATCCAGTGACTCTAGTGAGAACTACCCGACCTTTTACATCTATGGATGTACAGATTGATCGGACTCTACCTGTATAATTTTCAATGACACTGACAGAGAAACAGAGAGAAGTCACATCATCTGTAAAACTGAACATGACCCCGTTCAGATCGGTCCTCATTCAAATTCAGATAGTTGCCGTTCCATTTCTGGCAGCCATGATCATACTTTACATCATGGCTGCGACTATGGAACCACCTTTGGCTGGACATGGCGATAAAGCTACAGACGATAATCTATTGGATGAAAACAAATACGATTATCCAACTCTACTAGCTGGTATTATTAGAAACACGTTTCCAGATGTATTAGACAACAAGGATGTGATCTTTATATGCAATGGACTTATTATTGGATTGGATATCATCCTTACTTCTGAAAATTGTTTCAGGTAAGTTTTAGGAATTCTTGATGCTCACAAATGCTTTTCCATTCTTTCCAAACGCTACAGCAAGTAGCACCGGAATATCTCTGAGTAGATCCTCCATTGTTCCAATTACCATTGTCACCTCAGGGTAATTGGTTCAAAACAGATTCATTGTGCTCATTTGCTGTGCGTTAAAGGTAACACATTCTAATAACCTCTGTTAGCTATAGGTCGCGTGCACGATGACCCACCTTGGAGGCAAAATATTGAAACACAACCTCATTCTTCTGTGAATTATTGAAACACAACCTTACTTTTTTACTTGGTTACAGAGGAATCAAAGGATTGAACTAGCTTTTCACAATATTTTGGCATACGAATCGTGTTTTTTACGCTATTCATTAATTCGAGCATGCCTTCGCATTGTGCTGTTGTACAATGCACAAAAAATGCAGCAAGAGACTGAAGAATATGATTTTTTAGGTGAATAGTGATCTCACATAGTTATCATTATGAAATGTTGTCATTCCTTATTAAAATTCCTTCTGCCTTCTGTCACTTCTGCAATACAAGCCTATACTGCTAATAGATTGAAAATGTCTACAACACACACGATAGCATGTTAGACCAGTCCTACTCCAGCACAATGTGTTAAATCGTGTGAGGAAAACAAAACAGAAGATAACTGACAAATATTCAAAATACTGGGAGTCAAGTACACACTCACCCCCATATTCTCCTTATACGTGCCCTAATGACTTCTCATCTATTTTTTTTTCAAGTGTGACATGCCAATCTGTGCACCAACTCTAATATTTTCCTTGTAGTGGCGAGTTCGGTTCTGCCGTGCCATAATCCTGCTCCGTAGGTGATCATAGGTCTTACTAGCATGGTACGAAGGCGCTGAAGGGCCACCTATACTTTTTTTTTTTCGAATCCCGACTTTAAAGTCGGACCCCCGACTTTAAAGTCAGCATGGTACGAAGGCGCTGAAGGGCCACCTATACTTTTTTTTTTCGAATCCCGACTTTAAAGTCGGACCCCCGACTTTAAAGTCGGGGGTCCGAGATTAAAGTCGGGGGTCCGAGATTAAAGTCGGGGGTCCGAGATTGAAGTCGGGGGTCCGACTTTAAAGTCGGGAGTCCGAGATTAAAGTCGGGGGTCCGAGATTAAAGTCGGGGGTCCGACTTTAAAGTCGGGGGTCCGACTTTAAAGTCGGGGGTCCGAGATTAAAGTCGGGGGTCCAACTTTAAAGTCGGGGGTCCGAGATTAAAGTCGGGGGTCCATTCTATCATATATCATTGAATTCGTCTTTCTTATCTCTATCCAAGAATGAAATTAAATACTTTCGAAAATTCCGAGAAAATGATCGGTTCGCAAAATACGTCATCACTTTTGTTTAATTCGAATATCCTTATTAATATTGACAAAATATCAATATAACATATATAATTAGTTAATTCATAATGAAAACTGCGCATTGAAAACTTGATTCTCAACGTTTTCATAAGGCTTTGAAATTTGGCTATTTATTGAAGAAGATTATGCAAATAGTCCGGAAGGGGTGATCTCATACCTACAAATACTCACTACAATAAACTCATCTTTCTGAGCTCTACCCAAGGACGGAATGGCATTCAGGGTAGTTCATTTGTGAAAATATATGTTTTGTATTGTAATCTTTTTGCCACCTTTGAACAAACAAATGAGATTCTTAGCTATTAAGTGGAAAATAAACAATCACCCTATACGTACGATAATGATCGTACAGGTGTGATCCATTATTTGACATTCAGTGTACATCCAAAAAGGAGGATTTTGACTGATCCTTATGTGATGATTATCCAATGGATGTGAAATTATTGTTTGTACATAAATGTACAGGGTGTTTCTCGAGTACATTTAGAAAATTCAGGAGAATGTTGCTGACGTCAAACTGATGAGTAACAATGGAAATTATTTATTTCTGTCCACATATTTAACGAATATAATCTAGCTCCTAACTTCAGTTTCGGACTCCCGACTTTAATCTCGGACCCCCGACTTTAATCTCGGACCCCCGAATTTAATCTCGGACCCCCGACTTTAAAGTCGGACCCCCGACTTTAATCTCGGACCCCCGACTTTAAAGTCGGACCCCCGACTTTAATCTCGGACCCCCGACTTTAAAGTTGGACCCCCGACTTTAATCTCGGACCCCCGACTTTAAAGTCGGACCCCCGACTTTAATCTCGGACCCCCGACTTTAAAGTCGGACCCCCGACTTTAATCTCGGACCCCCGACTTTAATCTCGGACCCCCGACTTTAATCTCGGACCCCCGACTTTAATCTCGGACCCCCGACTTTAAAGTCGGACCCCCGACTTTAAAGTCGGGATTCGAAAAAAAAAGTATAGGTGGCCCTTCGGCGCCTTCGTAGCATGGTGTACATCCATCGCAGTATTATAATAATAATAATAATAATAATTTATTCACCAGAAAAGAAACAACAATACAATGTATAAAATACAATAGTTGTTATACGAAACTAATATTTAGAGTTGTAAGGATTTGTGGATCGACAATAGACTGTTAGGACCTGGGTTATACACTTTCTCGAATATTAAATAGACTTTTGAACACTATTCTTGTAAATTAACTGCAGCTGACAGTGATCTTCTTATCTATTCATTGTCTCGAACAGAATTGTGTCACACTGTCAAAACTGTCAAAGCCTCCTAGTCTGGTCGCAGGTTTGTTACTGAGTGGCCTGCTGCTCATTCAGATCTGTATGAGCCAGCAGTACTCACGTTAACAAGAGTACCTAGTATATTATACATAAAATCAGGTGAATAAATGAACACTGTCCATGTAAGACAGAACCTTGAGTATAGAGACATATGTTAATACATCAATCTGATGTTTGTATGCACCCTAACATCGAAACATGAATTATTATAAAATATTGATGGGTTACACCACAACGTTTTGCCTGCAAGGTTTCTGCACACCATCAGTGATGATTTCGCCTCACTGGCGATCTTTTCTACGTGTCTGTTCCAGAGAAGCTTTGAGTCTAGGATGAGCCCTATATACTTCACTTCTTGCTGCCATTCTAGGTCTGCTCCGTCTTGACGGACGAACCTCGAGTGCGTGCTGAACCTTCTTTCTTCTAGTAAAAGGTACCAATGTGGTTTTGTCTGTGATGTCACAGAGGGTCCCTACAAATTTGCCTTTAGCCATGATGACTATGTCGTCCGCATATCCAAAGCAAGTTACTCCATTCTCAGTAAGAATCCCGAGTAGTTCGTCAACTACTAGACTCCACATCAAGGGTGAAAGTCCCCTCCTTGTGGTCATTCCCTGTTCGTACTGATTTGAAAGCTGCTCTTGTCCACTTCCGTTTCTTTTGCTAAGAAATCCATTCTTTTAGCAGGATCCCCTGCGGTTCCAATTCATGCGTGCAGGTTAGTTTAGTTTTGCACTTGGAACAATTGCGATAACAATGGTTGCCAAAGTAACTGATATTCATGACATTTTTGTAAGTATCATACGTAATAATAATAATAATAATAATAATAATCATTTCGAAATCTTAAGTTGAGATTATGAATGTCAGTTCTAAAAGTCAGTTTCTTGAATAGATAAGGAGGTTTCCCAGTTGTTATTATTTTATGAAACATCGTACTGGAGTGTAGTGTACGCCTAGCCTCCATGTTCAGCCATCCAAGATTCCTTAATTGTTGCGTAACATGTTCCCGCTTTCTTGTGCCTGTAATAAGTCTCAGACATGAGTTCTGCAATTTTTTTAGTCTCATTTTGTCCGATTTCATCAGCCCAGGTTCATAAACCACGTCTGCATAGTTAGCATGTGATAACACTAAAGCATCACAGAGTATCATTTTACTTTTTTTTTTCAAAAAATTTCTGTTTGAATAGATCGTTCTCAGATTCATATAACCCTGTTTTGAAATATGAGAAACGTGTGTAGTGAAGCGTAATGCATTATCAAGGTACAATCCCAAAATTTTTCGTTGTATCTATCAAAAAATTCTTGCAACGATTTCTTGCTGCTGTCCTTCCGAAAAGCATAACGTATGATTTAGATTCATTGACAGTGAAGCAGTATTTATTTGAAACGGTTATGAGAGTATTCAAATTATGATTCATTTGGTAAAGTGCCAGGTTGTAGGAGTTTTCTTCGAAATTTAAATACATCTGCGTGTCATCAGCATAACAGTGCATTGAAGCGTAACGTAAGGACTTTGCGAATTGTGAAGTGTAGAGAACAAAAAGAAGAGGGCCCAAAATTGATCGCAAATAATCGCAAATTCTGTCAGTCGGGAAACATCAACTATAATCCGATATAACATAAGTTCGAGTAAATAAATTACAGAATAGTTTTGAAATAATATGTACTATTCAGTGCGCGTGATTTCAAAGTCAATGCAATTGATTTATAATTTCGACGCATCGCGACGCTCAGCTTTTATTAGACATTGAATTCTTTTAACTTTGAGGAAAAACTACTTGACCCCATCCATTGAGTACTTTTTACAGCAATCAACTATTTCTAATCGTTTTCGAGATAATGGCGTGCGGAGTTTGAAGTCGAAAACCCTAATTAGGCTTCATTCCGAATTCAACTGGTCAGTACTGTCAGTAAATCCACAACACGTTTTCATGGTTTTCATTAGTAATCAGCAGCAGCTGATCAGCTGGTGAAATTTGAATACCAGTCAAACGTCAATTATATCAATAACAATGATTTTCTTATATGAAATATGCAATAATACTGATTCATTATTGATGAGACAAGACGAAATGTTTCAAAAACAATGAATGTTACATTCCCTTCCCCCCCTCTGAAATAGTAATAGTTCACTGAAGCTACATTACCTTTTCATAGTCAGCAATTTCAACAGAATGATGGGTCATAATATTTGGACTGAACAGTATATTTGCTCACAAGTATCTGACACTTCCAGTGATTTTTTTTATTTTGGAAAGAAAAATCAACAGATTTAGTACTGACAGTTGAATTCGGAATATATCTTTTGAGTATGAAACTTACCAATCCAAAACAAGCTCAAGCTGTCGATACCAAGGTTTTCTATATGGAAATTCAAATTCTTATATATATACACCTTATTGTTGTTGCAGAACCATAGATGGATCAGTTATAGGGGACAATTACAGGGTGACTTCAGGATCCAGATATTGGTCTCGCATGAGAAATATACACAATATCGTTGAGTTCAATGGATTTGGAGATGGAAACTTAACAGGTTTCATGATACTGCGAGTACATCCACCCATTATGAAAGGGTGGATCACTAAAGAAAACTACGTCAGGCTAGTAAAACCTCCAAACGAACCGGAACTAGATTATTTAGGTTGGACGTTTCCGATTGCAGAAGCCATGGATGCCTTCAAAACGGAAAAAGGATCCATCGACAAGTGTATATTCTTTCACGGAGCAGTAGTCCTAACCAGTAAAGGTAATATAGTTGGTTTCCAGAGAAGAAACTGCAATGATAGTGAGAAGACCAAAGTATTAAGTGGACCTTTTTTTGAACGAATTGCGGACAAAAAACTAGGATTTCCAGATAAAAACATTACAAACAGCACCAGATATTGTTTTCTTGATCTTAACAAGACCGAAGAAATACATGATGAACATATTATACATGAATCAGGATCAGAAAATATTGAAGCCCAAGATCAGGAAGGTCGTTGAAGTCGCCTCAACACAAATAGTATTCTGGCAATGAAAATCCTGGAATCAGCTCTTTATGGGATATCCCACTCATTTTTGAAGATTCAGATTTTTGGTTTTAGCGAATGTTGGCTACTTTTAAGTGAATCTCAAGATACCGCAAAGGAGATTTTCATATGCCCCATGGTTTCTGAGATACAGGGCGGAATTGAAAATGTTGTATTCCAGAACTTACCATATCTCAGTTATCTTTCAACTCATAGGCCAATTGAGAACTGTCCTTCATGATTTTTTTGAATAGAATCGAGTGGCGTAGTCAGATTCACTGGGGAAACGATCGAACACGAACGGTTATCAAATACTGAATAAACTTCACAAAAAAATTTCATCGAATAGGGGACAACCTAGCTGTCTTATCAATGCTATTCAATTCGTTTTGTTATGACGACCAAATAACAGTAACTAGATAATTTCATGAAGCATGTCTTGAAGGCTATACCGTTGACGAATTACGGTCATTCATCAATGTGTGTTTGTTTTTTTTATGTCCTGGTTCCTACGAAAAGGGATATCTTGTAATGTTTAGGAAACATCGTGAGAACCAAGGGAAGTAAGGTAGGAATTGGTGTCCTTCTTGAATTTCCGGAGGTTATATGCCTCGGGGAACACCTTCCTTGGGAATGTGCTCCAGAGCCTCGCTGTTCGTTGAATGAACGAGTCTTTGGAAAGAGATGTTCAGCAGGTCCTCGAAGTGACCACGAAGAGGCGCGAAGCCTGTACTCGACGGGTTAGTCTCGCGGGGACGGCCAATGGAGGAATAATTGTCAAAATTTCAGAAAGCATTGTCGATGAAAATATCTATATAATAGAGCCAGATCGCCAACTTTTCTACGGTGTTCCAGAGAAGTGAGTGAGTTTGTGAGCGGGGCATCACCCACGAGACCAATTTACCTTTTTTGGATAGAATCTAACAGTTACAGGGTATGTTCGGGTGATGCACTCCAAATAAGGGAACAGTATTCCAGGACTGGTCGGATCTGTGGCTTATAGATCATGTAACTGTAATTGGAGAGTACATTCGCTAGTGTTCTCTGGAACCCATAACAGGCATTAAACGTCTGTATTGAAAGGATTAATGACTAGTTATTTCAAGTTAATAGGCAATCGAATGATTTTTCACCAAATAATTTCTTGATTGGAATTAATCTATTTGACACAATTATTTTTAGGAGCTCTGTCAGTGAAGATTACGTCAATCCAAAAACATTCCGCAATACTCTTGAAAACGAAGTGAACAGAAAATGATGTTGAAAATACACTATTTTCCACCCATCAAAGCACTTTCAATATATGGAAAACTTCACTTTTTCAATATATTGATTTCCGATTTTTTTCTATTCCTATCATAATCCAGAAACAGAACTCACAACCGCTTTTAACAAAGCAAATGCACGACGCACGAGTTTACATACCGACTGGACCGACTCAATTCTGATAACTTTCACGAGGTACACGCGGAGTGTGCCAATTTGCCGTGAAAGTTCTTGTTATTTTTTTCCCAAGAAACATTGTCAACGATCGTTATTCATTCTCCCTATAAGATTAATTTGAGTAGTTACGGTGATATGATTAAAATCTACTCGTCTGCGTCAGTTATCATAGGTTGAACATTATATTGTTATTATACAAGGAAACTAATGGTGTTAATTGATATACTCCCAATTAAACGTCTCTATAGTTATGGCAACTAGTCGTTGGGGCTATTCTAATACGTATCATGAGGAAATATGATAAGAAATTGAATAACAGTCATCAACTAAAACATAACAAGAAAATTCAATGAGTGGTATTTCCTCAATGAAGCTATCATCATTCAGAGATAACCCAGAGTTGTGTTTTTCAAATGATAAACTTTGTACATTGAAAAGAAAGCACTCATTGAATTTGCTTGTTATGTCTGAGTTGATGACTGTTATTCAATTTCTAATCATATCCCCCGAGGCATATAACCTCCAGAAATCCAAGAACAACACCAATCCCTACTTTATTTCCCTTGGTTCTTACGATGTTCTCTGAACATAACAGGATATCCCTTTTCGTGGGAACCAGAACATGAAAAAAAGTTAGGTATCAAAATAGCGCCAAAGACTAGTTGCCATTACTAGAGACGTTTTTTTGGGAGTATATCAATTAACTCCATCGGTCTTCTTGCAATGCCAATGATGTCTGAACCTATGGTAATCAACGCAGTCAAGTGAATTTTAATCGTGTAACCGTAACTTGTCATCGAATTACTCTTATAGGTGAAATGAATAACGATCGTTAACGAATGTTTCTCGAATAAAAACGAACAAGAATTTGCACCTAGTGACAGTTATGAGAATTAAGTCGGTATAGTCAGTGTCCCTTGACGTGAATTGACGTATTCATCATCTAAAGTGTTTGTTAAACAGTTATATAGTTCCATCTCTATTCATTTCTGGGGATGAACACTATAGATTTCTGACATTTGTTGTTTTTTAGGTTATATTTAGGGCATTGGCGTACCATTCGTGATTTCCACATGTAATTTCTCATTCAACTCTACATAATATAATATCCAAATGATGATGATGATTTTCGAGTTTTTGATTTTTCAACTGCATCATAATCTTTGTGAGGCAGTGAGCAAATTTTTCTGGAAGTTTGATACGTTTCACGAAATGGGACTGCTCTATCAATAAATGAATTTTGATTTCAGACTAAGCCTTATGGTTGAGAAATGGTGAAAAATTTTATGTAGGTAATTTAACCAATGTGCTCATATGATATGTGTGCTGTATTTATTCATGTTGGGAATTATTTTCGCAGTTTCTTCACGAACAGTTAATATTTCCTGAATGTAAGTATAATTTTTCGAATGATAGGGCATATGCCTCTTCCTTTAATCCTCCGTTTTATTCAGAACTGTTTCAACTGAAATGCTATCAAAAACTTGTAGAGTGGATTATTATAGGCACAATGAGGAAGTATAATATGTGATTTCGTATTAGTTTCACCACGAATATTTTGATGATGTATTTACCGATTTTTCCCATTCGGTCACTTCACTTTCCATGTTCTTAGTGCATTTGCATTTGATGGAAAGCTGACAAATTCTAATTTGCTATTCAACTGATTGATACAGCCTTACGCAGCACATGTTACCATCCTCTGAAAACAGAATTGAATAATGTCGTTTTATGATCAAGTATGAAATCAAAATTTTGTAAGATATCTTTTAACGCCTATGAATGTGATGTGACAGCAATGTCATGTCAGGGACGCCAATACACGAAACCAAAGTCACTAGATGATGAAAAGAGAAAGGAGCTATGATCTGTCCGTTCCCTGTCAAATGACAAATACGTCAGTTTGTGCCGTGTATTTCATTTGTTAAATACGGTTGTGAGTTCTGATTCGGATTTGTGATCGAGTGAGGTTTCGAAAAACTAATGGTTAGAAGTGTGGGATCGAACGAGACATTTGGGAGTCACATGTCAATTCGAAATGTTGGAGTAATTACATTTTCAACCAAATTTTCTCTTTCTGAAGTTCAATTTTCACATTTCCTTCCATCCACAAAGTTCAGTTCAGTTCAGTTCTTCTCCGACTTCATGACAACATTCATATTTTTGTTGCAGCAATTTATCCTTACCTACACGTTGGGTATGTATATATGTCAGATTGATCATTAAATAACTATAAAAAATAAATGAAAATTATATATTATGATCTAATGGCATGAAACCTCTATATCGAAATAAATGATCACTCCAGATATTTCAAGTTGATAATCTAGTAAGTTTCTACCAAATAATTTTCCAGAATAAAAAAAATCTATTTGGTATATTTAGTTTCCGAAGTTTTTATTTAGTAAAGAGTTTATTATGAGAAAAACGAGTACTTTCATTACCTTCGAGATAAAAAATAATCGGAAATTAATATATTGGAAAAGTGAAATTTTTCATACTTCGAACGTGCTTCGATGGGTGAAAAATAGTGTATTTTTGACATATGATTTTCTCGATACTCCGATTCATAGAGTATCTCGAAGATTTTTTTAATGGATGTAATTTTCACTTACTGGGCTCCAGGAAATAAATATCCAAAATAGATTATTTTAAATCTGGAATATTATTTGGTGAAGAAATATTCGATTATCAACTTGAAATAACAAGAGTCATTGATTATTTCAATACTGAGGTATTATGCCTGTTATAGGTTACGGAAAATAACAGCCAATGTACTCTCTAATTATAGTAACACACATTGATGAATGACCGTACTTCGTCCACGGTGTAGCCTTCAAGTCATGCTTTATTAAATTATCTAGTAACTGTTATTTTCAATAACCGTTATTCGATTTTGTTCTCATCAGTGTTTAATTTTCCATGTTTGGAACATTATTCAAGAATACATAGCACATATAAGATATTTCAGGTATTATCCTCGAATTTAGTTGATTTCCAGTTTTCTACTAGATTTCTTATTGATGGGCCTAGAAGATATATCTGGCAACATTTATTTTTCCATATCACGAATCTCCATATTGACTTTGATAGTGACAGTGTTTCGTCACATACTAGTTTCGAGTTTGAAAACAATCAACAATTACCAAAATTCAGCAATATTTATCGACTATAAAAAATGTGGACCTAATTAGTATGGGTAGGTAACTATGAAAAAACAGCGTGTGCAGATTGTTTTATATTTCTTGTCACCGACCTGTCGGAGTTTAGACATTTCTCGTACAAATTGAATCCTTGAGTAATCAAATGTATGAGAGGCACGTTTTACTTTTCCTATCAGGTGATAGATAACTGAGATACAGGGGTATCCCAAAATGCAACATTTTGAATTTCACCCTGTATCTGAAAAACGAAGCGGGCTATGAACATGTTGTTTGCGGTATCGTGAGTTCCAGAGAAAAAAGTCATCGTTAGCGAAATTCACAGATCAGTATCATTGTGAGTTGTCATTATATTATTACTTAGTAAGTTAGAATCGTTGAACTTCAATAAAAATATTCATAACATTGTGCGACGATTGATTATATCGACTCAACATGGCGAACATTTACTGACAGTGTGATTCATTCTACGAAATCTACATGAATTGAATTTCTGGAACAGAGATGGAGTCCATAAATCCATGGACATGAGAATGTACGTATCCTTGGAGTTACTTCTCCTTGTCCTTATAAGTATAAATATATGTTTTATTCCGAAATATCTGCGAAGTTCCAAAAGTTCTTTTGATTTTGTCAAATGAATCCGAAGCAGTAAACTGGGATTCGGGTTTCACCTTAACCCAATGAAATTTTAGGGTGCAATGTGTGTGCTTTCGACCTTCTGGGTCTCATCAGTTAGGAGAAGAAGCCTGAGAGCTCTTCTTCTTCTTCTCCGAAGCACTGGTGGGCGGGTGAACCCCCTGAACGTGGGCCTCCTTATTCGGGCCCATTGTGCGCCCACATGTTACGACATCCAGCTGGGTATGCCAACTGCCTTGGTGAAGTTCAGCAGTTTCCTCAGCTGAATCTCTTTTACGTCCTCTGGCCTCAAAATTATGTTGCCAAGGACAGCCCTCCTCTGATGCGTCAGTGCTGGACACTCAGTGAGGACATGTGCCCCGTAAGGAGCCCCACTACCATTTTGAGGTCTCGCCAGTTGAGGGATGAAACCTCATTTGTGAGCCACTTCGGAGGTTCCTTTATGTGGAGCTGCGATTGTCTCATTCCTGGTGTGTCCTGTCATGTTTTGAGGAATTGTTTTTGCAGCTGTCCCTCCATAGAGGATATTCCCAGACTGTTTGGTATTTCCAAGATTGGTTCCTGTCTGAACGGGGTCCGTCCTGAACCGATCTTGGCCAGTCTGTCTGCCTCCTCATTTTTGGGTATCCCCGAGTGTCCTGGGATCCACATGAGGCTGATTTTTCTTGATTTTCACAGTTTTTTCAAGATCTATCTGCATTCGAACACCAAATTGGTTGTGATCCTATTGGTTTGCAAAGCCAGTATTGCAGCTTTGCTGTTCGAGCATATAGTGATTTTTTGATCGCTTGGAGCGTACGAAAGGAAATCCCTATAATGTTGAAAAAACATCGTGCGTTCCTAGGGAGGATAGGAACAGGAGATGTGTATTGTAATTTTTTTTGAACCTCTGGAGATTCTATGTTGTTCGGAATACTTCCTCAGGCAATGAATTCCAGAGCCTAGCCGTTTTATGGATGATGTGCTGTTCGACATCTTTCGAAGTTGACAACGAAACGATGTGCTGACTGGGCTTGTCTAGTTCGTCTGACTGATATTGCTAGTGAAAGGATGATAGCAGACATTTCCGAAGAACTTTTCCCGTGGAATTATCGATAGAGAAGTGAAAGGTCGCCGACCTTTCTACGGTGTTTCAATGATGTCAAAGAGTGAGTGAGTGTGGCTTCACCGACCCGGCGAATGACTCTTCTCTGGATGGAATCTAAGATAATCAGCGTATTTTTTGGTGCTGAACCCCATATGTGGGAACAGTATTCTAAAACGGGCCGTATCTGCGCTTTGTAGACCATGAGAAGCTGTTGAGGTGTGAAGTAGCTTTTCGCACGAAACAAGAATCCGACTTTTTGTGAAGCTGACATGATTATCCCATGAAAGAGTGTTGCTGATGAAAATACCGAGCATAGATATGGTGTGCTTGGTGATGATGGTGGTGCCAGACATTACAATATCGGGCATACTGAGTTCCGCCTCTCTAGAGAAAATACAGGCTTGAGTTCTGGTGGCGTTGAATTCAACTAGGTTGTTGGTTCTCCAGGCTGTGATTTCAGCAAGATCTTCATTGACAGCATTGACCTGCCTGTGCCGTAAGTTCTCAGTTTCATGAAGAAATGGGAATTCTGGAAGAGAACGCAGTATGGAGGGTACTTTCATCTGCAAAGCTGTGGATGGGGCAAGTTGTTACTCGCAACAGATCATTGATATGAAGAGGGAATAATGTTGGTGCCAAAATTGATCCTTATGGAATGCCGTAATTGATGCCAATGGTATCAGACGATACACCGTCCACCACCACGTGAAGCAATCTGCCTGAAAGAAAACTCGATAGGAGATGGCATAGCTGAGGTGGTAAGCCGTATAATGGTACTTTGTAAAGGAGTCCTCCGTGCCAAACACGGTCGAATGCATTCCATATGTCCAACGCGACAGCTAGAGATTCCCCGTGTTTTTCTAATGGAGCTTGCCATATATGGGTGACGTAGGCAAGTAGATCTACAGTAGATCTTCGGTGGCGAAGATTGGCGATTGGTCTACGACCTCTCTTAATCAGGTTTTCTTGGGCACAGGCAAGAATTGCGAGACTTCAGCCTGGAACACTGTGGCATATTCGCCCAAAGGAACCGAGATTTCTTTGCTTGTTTCTTCATTGTATTTTTTTTAGGAAAAAAGTAGACACCTCTTTCCTGTGGCAAAAAAAGTAATTTATAGAAAGTGACATTTTGAAACCTGACAACAGTGATAAAATTTCGAACTTCTTTTTCGTCACAGAATAAGCGATATTCAGCCTCGTATGCAGCAAGTGTATAGATAAATTTCAATAATGCGCCCCTAATCGATTACAATATTCAACATCCCACATTCAATGTCTGTTCGAACATGGAGGTATTGTTGTATATTCATGGAAACGGCAATACGTTTGGCACATCCAAATTTTATTGAACGGATCTGGGATTTGTGGATAATAGATGTTTATAGAGTGGAAACGATAAAAATATTCTTCTATTCGCATAACTAAAATGTTATTCAGCGTACGGACCTATACCACGCTAAATTATCGTTTAATCACGGATGATCTGTGATTTTTTTGAAAAATTAGGCATGTTACCATGGCAACACAATTTCTTACTTACCATGGCAACAGAGTTTTTCGAACACACTTCTAGTCGCTTTTGGATGTATGATAAATTGACATTCATGATACAGGGCGTGGAAAGAAATTCTGATATGAATTATTATTTTTGGAAGTTTTCAAGCTCATCAAGATCAGAGTTTATGCCAGTATACTTCTCCTATACATTCCAATTTTCATTTCAATGCTGAATATATTGGTGAGTTATATTTCTATATCATTATGCATAATATTATTGATCCAATTCGGAATAGAATATCAATTCTCAATTTCGGAGGATTTTATTTTTTATTTTCTCATGTTCTCCTTTTGGATGTTCATCGGATATAATTCAATGTTCGACGTGGCAAATAGCCAGGAAAGTAGTTGTTTTCTGTTGAATATCCAGAATGTGCATATATACATACATTTTGTCTGAATGAGAATGCAAATTCTCAATTTCAGAAGATTTTATATTTTATTTTCAAACTCTTATCGTGTGTGTTCAATAGATATAATTCAATGTTCGTCGTGGCATATAGCCAGGAAAGTAGTTGTTTTCTATTGAATAAACTGAAAAAGAGTTGATACTATCATCACATAGAGAATGCGAATTCCCAATGTATTGCTTTATATAAATAGGTATAGGTACAGGGTGTCCGGAGATAAAACCGACAAAACTCATGGGGTTATAGGGACTGTCAATATGATTGCAAAATGCCATAAACGAATGTCCAAAACCGCTTCGTTACTGAGATACAGAGTGATTTGTGGATTTTGACAAAAAATTCAATCCGCCATATAAAATACAGGGATTAGCCGATTGGATTCAAATTTGGTACACGAATTACACTGAAAAGCGTCAACAAGTAGCCCTTTGATCGAAACCAATATCAGGACCGGAATAATATTTTTCCTCTATGTTGAGTTATTGTTGGATAACTCACCCTGTATCATAATAACCAAAAATTTCAACTCAGATTCGCAATTTACGGTGAAAATTGTATAGGAATTTGTTGAAAAATCTCCTGGCACCATCTTAGTTATTTCGTAATTAATTATTAATTTGATTTTTTTCATTGAAAAATCAATCATTGTCGGATAAAGTACGTATATTTACGAAACCATGACATGAATGTCGTTATTTTCTTCGATCAGTTCATGAATCGGAGTAAATGAAATATTCTCATAACCCGAAAAAACTGGAGAATAAATTCGTATCAGGACTGTAATGAGTGTTTTGTTTGGTCATATTAGCTGACCTAGTACATCAATAGTTATCAATAATCTGATCGTAGATTCGGAATTTGAAAAAAACGTATAAGAACCTGTTGAAGAAGGATTACAGTGAAGTTTTCGTAAATTATATTCGCTCACTAATGAATTTGAATTCATGAGAATACTACACAACGAACAATAACTGTTTGTAATGAACAATAACTGTTTGTAATAATGAACATAACAAAAGCAACGAATTCGTGAAAAACTTTCACTACACAGTATTACAAAACATTTTCGAAGTAAGGCCCTCCAACATCAATACATTTTTGAGAGCGTGCTATTAGATGATTCACTGACTTGCGAATTATTTGAGGGTTATTTCTAACACTGACACATGCAGCAGTAATTTCCCATAAAAAATTTCTTCATTATGAACTTCTTACTTTAAATGACCTCATAAAAAATAATCTAGCTGAGTTATATCAGGGAATAGCGGTGGCCAATTTACTGAACCTCCACGGCCAATCCATCTATTGGGGTAATTGGCATCGAAATGGTTTCTAACTGGAACTGAGTAGTGAGGTCTAGCACCATCATGCTGAAACCATATACCTCAGGTATTTACACCTTGCAATAGATCCGGTCAAGTATTGACCAGGAAATTTAGGTAAACATCACCAGTTAAAGTCCAAACACAAATAGAATATCTGCGTATTCCTCATAAGTGAAATGAAACGGCATCATAAGCACACTCTCAGATTTTATAGTTTGATCCTAAAAACACTGGAATAATGAATGAACACCAATCAAACAAACGCTGATGACAGCTGAACAATGGTTTTCCATAATGAAATTCTGAATTTCACACAAGCCTAGTATTCTTTATACACAAACATTATAAGGTACTGATACGGATTTATTATTTG